TTTTACATAATGAGCATGGTAGGCAGCATCTGCATTAGCCAGGTAATATCAGAGACTCATAGGTATACAAATGCAACGCAGATGCTCCAGTAACGATGAGCTTAACAGAGAACAATTCGCTTTGTGAGCACAGACCTGTAACAGCAATAGTCGTCTGTTCCGATAGACACAAATATAGGAAAAGCCAACGAGGTTCGTATAGAGGCACAACGTATGTTTTACGTGTTGCTGCAAAATAATCTTGTGCATAGGATATAGGCAGAAATATAATCAGATACAATATAACTCTGCAGAACATGACGCCTTATTTACGGATAAAGATGATACTATAATCTTTTTTTAAATTACTTGGGAGTAAAAGTCGTGGCTCTGTCTTCAACTCTGAACACTGCAATCCACCTCCCAAAATGAGCTAACAAAGGGATTGTATAGGAAAATTTAATGCTAAACTTGAAACAGGTTACAACTTTGAAAAAAAACGTTGACACAATATAGTACGTCATCAATCAATGGATATCCTTACGCCTTGAATTATATCCGATTTATCAACATTTATTATTTTTATTTCATTTATAAGTAAGTTGTCATTCCAATGTCTCCATAAAGTTCACTAGGATTCGTTATCTACATTTTGCATCTGGCGGATAATAAGCTGTTTTAAATGTATTTATTGAGTAGTAGTAGTAGTAGTGGATTTCCTGGGCATGCTTGGTACCGCTTCGGGTAAAAAAAAAAGAAGAAAAAAGGATAGTCTTTGGAAAAAGGCTTAGTAAACCTTTTAGAAGATCCATTGATCGATGTGCGCAACATCCCCTACAACTGATGATTCACTACTTTATGACCAACTACGAGATCGTTAACCGATGGGAGATCACCACTTGAATGACGCTCTCGAGCTCACCGGTTATCTCTATTGTTGTTAAAATACATTATGGCTGAATAGGCAGATGTATTCAACTCCAACTGTGATAGTAGTTAGTGCCTTGCAGGCTAGGGTAGCCGTTAAGGCGTAAAAGCCTTTCAAAAACAATGATCGTTTTTGGCTCAATCGACCGTCCTGACCCGATCACCTATGCTTATTTGTAGTTTAAACTATTTTCAGTGCAATTTCTGTCCGTTACGATTGTACGCTCCATTTTGATTGGCCTACCTGACGGCTGCCACTGTAGCATTTTAAAAGCAATGTAGATACGTATATAATACATAATATAATTTCAAAGGACAAGTAAAGGCAACGCTAAATGTTCACGTGAACGCCAAATATACGCGGTCAATGTTAAAAGCAAGGTTTAGTTCTGAGACATCTATACACATTGGGCCTCATCAATCATTGATTTAAGAGGACAGGAGCAGAAGACGTGCCTTTAGCAGGTGAACCATATCCCCTATTTGAATCTAGAATATCAAGCGCACAGGATATGCCCCGTGAAGTTCCGTAAGAATGTGCAGATTGTACACAAACGGCCCTCAATGCAGTTGGCTATCTGCTGGGAGATTTACCCACTTTCCACACCTGAAAGCGGCGCGAGGAGAAGAGCTGCGGCTTAAATTTGCAATATATGTAAGCATTACCTTAAATAATACCTGTCCTTACTTTAACCTTAATAACTATTTCTATAGATAGTATTTGTGAATTTAACTGCCGTTCGCTCGGACTGCTGGAATGGATAAGATAACATAGAATTCGCCAGCTGCAAAGGGTAGTGCTGTTCGCTGAGACTTCGTCAAGTAAGCAAAAACCCTTAGCATATGCGCCCTTAATTTCAAACACGAATAACCATTCCCGTTGGCGCTGCTTGCTTTCTTTCTTCTCTTTTCCTCAAAGTTTAAGTTATTTGAACCCTTTGGCATTTTATAATAACCTCCTCGCTCGTCCTCATCTTCTGCTAGCCTAAAGCAGCGTGTAAATCTTTTGGCCGCACGCCCATCTACAATACTAAGCTCAAACGTGCACAAAACCAACCAAAAGTCGTCATTTATCTATCACTTATCTGTGAACATATCAACAATAGCGCAGAGAACTTTATCAGTTTGTATATAGATTGTTCATTATTGCTACAATGTAACATCAGTCCATCATTATATTTTTTAACAGACCGCTCTCATCACAAACCTCTACGACAAATACAAGCGGCAAACAAGAGGCATGACAAAAAAAAATGCGTCTACTCTGTATATGACGAGTATAACAAGAAAATGTTTTTGATCAATATAAAAACAGAAAGATATTACAAGAAACGAAATTTCGTCGTAATGTTATAGACAGTCAACGAAATTAGATATCTAATTACTATTAAATAAAGTATCTGAATAAATTAACGAACCAATTACTTGTTTTTGTTGATATGGTTTTTATTAAATAATAGATATGGTACCAAACATATGTTACTACTAAAAGCAGACATATACTTCACTTATTTATCAATTAAAATCGCTGCTTCGAGACTAATTAGCGACCTGTAAATGCTAGATGTTAATAGAATGGGGTTAACGTATACGGCTATCGTCGGCATAATGATCTTCAAGGAAGCATATATATATATATATTATTCTTCTGCTACCTTACTGTGTGTTAAGACAAGACTCAAACTGTCAGAAGACGGCGTTTGCTCTAGCTCGCCTATCGGGTCTAAAGAAGAAGTTTCCCAGCTTCGCGGCTTTCAAGCAGATGTGAACGCCACAGTCAATTGCCTTCCTGTGACTATAACTTATTTTCGAACTACAATAAACTTCTGCAATAAAACAGCAATTGATGATTCCCAGATTAACATATGCAGAAAACCTGCGTATAAACTGTATCTATTAACGGCCCTACGAAAGGTTATTAGTGTGCAAAATGAATAACTTTCTGTGTTTGTTCTCTCATGAAACAAAACCCGATCCCTATCAGCTAACGTAAATATATGTCAGGTGTCGTAATGTTGCTGAGTGCTTCAAAGCTGTGCTGCCCTTTTTTTGCTCCTAGGGTACAGCTGGTCTATTGTCATCAGATTTTTCCACTTATGCGAAGTTCGCCAAAAGCGAAATACGTATGGATAAAAAAAGTGACTTTAAAATGAGAGTGAAGAGGGTGAAAAGGCTCATCTTCCTCTGCCCGTCAGGCGCATCCTTGGCCTATCGCCGGCCCATTGCGGACGAAGAACTTAGTAATAACAGCGCCCAATGGGACAGTGTCAACTTCTTCTCCCTCGATTCCCTTTTCCATGGTTACGTTTTTATAGGAGGGGCATGAATTGCCACCCTCTCTGGTCTCCAGCTAGTTAAGGTTTTGCTCAAGCCTTTTAAAGTGCTCCGCAGCGATGGCTAGGCATGCCTTAAAATTCTGCCATTTCCCGACTTCTTAGAGGATAATGGACAGCAAGCAAATCTTCGGCGCTCTTCAACAGCTTCGCCCGTCTGTGTTAGTTATAGTATACGTCAACATGATCCTTTTTCTATAATACTCCATAATCTATATTGATACGTACATTGCTTCTACCCTTAGGTGGATCAGACTTCTCCTTCTCATCGTATATGTGCCGCTATAAAGAATAGCTGCGAGATGAATAGATCGATTGTTTTACGTGTGCAGTTCTATATGACCTATTTCAGCGAAAAGGAACGTATATATTTGAAGCAAACAGCCTCAGTAGCAGCTTTGTCTGGATATTGCGGTAGAAAGAACAGAGTTGACCGAAAAATGAATTGTGAAACATTTAGCAATCTGTACAACAAGCTTAGTCCTTTTTTGCAGGACCAAATGGAGGGGCTCACTAATTATGGTTAACTGGGAAAAGCCTTTTTTCATCCGAGAAATGCCGAAGCCCCCGGGGCAGAAATTCATTGTTCCTGTTGATTGTTTTTAGCAGGTTAACTGCTCTCGGCCTCTTCTAGATGATGCCTAATCTAATATGTTGTGGGGTATTAACTAATGATCTTTTTTTTCGTTCTTTTCTTTATCTAATGTGAAGGATGAGAAATGTTGTTATATTTACTGCCCGAAAAAGGTAATGGTACTGGTTTGTGGAAAGAATAATGGTCACGCTTATAAGAGAAACGTATTCAATGCAAGCCTTTCCACATCAGCTGAGGTGTAGCGTGCGACTTCTACGGTAGATTCGTAATCTAGAGATAGATGTTTCAGGTTTTACTTCGGTGTTACTGTTTTATACAAGCGCTGCCCTATACAGATGAATTATTATACAACGAAGCGTGTCTACGACCGGTTTCAAATTTAGAGTACCTCACCTGTTTCTCCATTTGGTAAGCAAACCCATAGCACTATCACGAGGAATCGAATTCACGGCAGATACGCAGCTATCGGAAACACCTCACTGTATCATTGCAATGAACCGTTAAAGGATTTCGATGCACGCTAGAGTTTGGATACATCGAACGGCATTTGTGCACACCTAAAAATGGTTGAAACACATTTGCCTGTACACATAGATCGTACAAGTTTCTTTATCCAACTCGAATTGGTCAATGGGAAAAGTTCAACATGGGTTTAAACCAATAACCTCTGCTACAAAAAGTTTCAAGCATTACGCTGATTACATTTAACCGTGCTTATTCTACCGACACTGATAGCAAGTTAGCTGATTAACTTAGGAATTGTCGGTCTTCAAATCAATATAACTGCGTCTATTGACAACATTTGTAGTAGTTAAAGCAGCAGTTAAATACTCTCCCTAGATACACAGTGTTAGTATCAACTGAGCACGAGACATGCTAGCTGCTTGAATATTTCCTAAGCGCATAAATAGACGATTCCTATATTTACATACATCATACTAGTTGACCATAAAGTGTGTATTTCGACTAGTGGGGCTGAAATATAAATGGTGACGGCAATATTGCCCTAGGGCACAGAAAATTAGACTACAGATATTGCAGCTGT